CATTTACAAATTTGAATTAGGCAATGACTGCTTACTCAATGCTATATTAGACACTAGGCATAAAAAGGGGAAGGAAAATATAATCCTAACCTACCTACGATTAATATTAAAGATGTCCTGATGAGACTCCTCATCTCTAGTCAGTACTGAAGATCCTTGGATAAACAGAAGCCCAGAAGAATCTGATTTATAGTGAGCCTTACACTATAGCCAATCCTTTCTAAAAAGAGTCCTAGACACTGATTTCCAATTTTGAGTAAGTCCTGCCAGTTTTGTTTTTTCCCCCTTTATAGTTAGCTCAGATGTTAGGCTTTTTATCCAACCAGGATTTTATAAATAAAGATTTCCACAACTAACCAGTCAACCTTCGTAGTAGAACCTGCTAAAATCACTTAAGCTAAGGTCTTATCAGAATGTTTATTATATACCCTCTTCTATGAAATGTTTTACCTGAAGAGGAAATGATTTTGGAATGTTTTATCATTCCATTAAAACATAGTTTAGACACCTTTCTTAGATACTTTTAAATAAATAAAAAACGAAACACCTAACAACAATAGACATTACTGAAATAATTTAGCTGTAAAGGTCCAAGGAAGCTTCTATTTTCAGCACTAGGAATGAAGTTACCTTTTAAATGTATGATGCACTTTTTTCCCTTTATAAAGAATGTATTGGAGTTTTATTTAAATGTCCTGCATGTGTGAGCAATTATCCCCTTCTTTACCTTCCTGTGTCTCCCCATTAGGTACTTAGGAGCTGGGACAGCAGCTGCCATCACCCGGATGCAGAGCTTTTAATTCTCCTTGATGAGGGCTATTTATACAACCAGCTTCACACGTGATTCATCTCTTCTGTTTACTACTTTCTGAGGTACTCTATCAAAAAATTATGGACATATTGCAAAGAGAAAAACATCCCATGGTCTTGTTTTTTTTTAGGGGGAGCGGGGGAAAGAAGGGGGTTTTCCACAGAGCATTTTGATTTTTATTCTTTCCATATTTTTTCAGCAATCCTAGATTTTCAAAAGTTTTCATGTGTTCTTCCACAGCACTGCATTATGAAGCACTAAACTAGAAACCACGTGGTGCTCACATGTCAGTCTGACTTATACTGGTTTAAATATTTCACTTTCAAATAAAAGTCCTGGACTTACTTTTCCAAGAAACCAAAAATAAATGTCAACCTAAAGTGGAAAGTAGAAGAATTATATCCTTGTGTTTGTGGACGATGGGAGAGAAGAAAACACAAGAAAAGGAACAATGACTAAAATTCTGAAGTTTTCCCGCTTGAACATTTCACTGGACCTCCACTTCCTGAAGGGCCATCTCCCACCAGGATTTCTCCTGAGGCCCAATTCAACGTCTCTCTCTGCCCTTCTACCCAACTCCACCTTGGCTTCTAACACTCTCTAAAAAGAGCTTCCTTCTCACTGTTTCTAGTTAGCTGTCTTAGTCAGGATGAGAATGCCCAAGGGGGCATGTGAGCCCCTCTCTGTATCATATATCCAGTCCTAGACTAATTTTTTAAAGCTTACTAATTTTTTAAAGCTTACCTTTTTATTTTTGCCATGACAGTAACAACCTCAATGACAGCTGCCAGCTAATATTTGCAACAGCCCGACTCAGCAAGAAAAACGTTTCATACCTAGAGTTCAGTCTGACCCTGACTACTGATAAGGTTCTGACAGGGCAGAGTTTATTAGTCATTTCCCTTGAGGTTCTCCACCTAGTTTTATTGCAACAGACCTAGCATCCCAGTGCCTGAAATAAGCCCTGAGGAAATATGGTTTATCAGGTATCCTGTTTCCTCCTAGGTTTCTGCTCTGCATCACTACTTTTCACTACAGGGTCCCAGACAAGAATGGTGCCTCTTTTTTGAATGCAGGGTCCTGAAATTCCACATAGTTTTTGTCTTGGGAAGACTGAATCCCCTTCCCCAGTTATTGACTGGTGCCCTAGCCCCATGGCCTAACGCAGTGGTTGGCAAACTCATTAATCAATAGAGCCAAATATCAACATCACGAAGATTGAAACTTCTTTTGAGAACCAAATTTTTTAAACTTAAACTTTACCTAACGCCACTTCTTCAAAATAGACTCGCCCAGGCCGTGGTGTTTTGTGGAAGAGCCACACTCAAGGGGCCAAAGAGCCGCATGTGGCTCGTGAGTTGCAGTTTGCTGACCACGGGCCTGAGGATTTAGAACTAAGGCATGGCAAAATACTTGACTATGGGTAACAACACCATCTAGCACTCTTCGTTATTATGACCCATTTGCTAGATTTGATCCTCTCACATATCAATGCCGTGCCCTTTGAGGCCTAAATTGTTGATTCTTTAAAAAGCTGGCATCTCTCTCAGGGGACTCCTCTCCTACAGTCTTAGCCTCACAAAAGTCCTTGCTTCCTACCAGCCCTTCTAAGCTAGATCATCCTTAATCATCATCTCATTTTATTCACAAAACAACCCAAGGAGACAGATGCTAATATCCCCATTGGGCTGATAGAATTTTAAAACTCAGATTATATTAGAGAACATATACAGGCCACATAGCAGTGGTATAGTTGGAACTCAGCCAAGTCATTCTATTCCCACCATATTGTCTCCACTATATTAAGTTTCTTTTCACTGAATCTCACAAAAATTATTGCAAGAGACTTACAACATACCTTTCCATCTTCTAAATCATCCTCTACATTATCATAGAAGTATTCTTTCTAACATTCACTGCTATCATATACTTTTCATACTCTAAATTAATTTTTCATGATTCCCCAATTATTTATGAAATAAGTAATTCTCCATCCAAGCATTTGAAGTCCCCCATAATATGGACCCAGCCTACAGGTCAACATTTATCCCTCATATCCCTCCATGATCCAGGCCAAGCCACACTCCCTCTTGTGCCTCAGCCACCCAGCCCAGGCTGTTCCTAAAAGTCTGTGTTCTTTGCTTCTAATTCAATCTACTGCAATTATCACAGCGCAATCCAATCTCTACCACAAAAGCCTCCACGACTTCACATATCAAACTTAACCCATACTTCTGGCAACTTTACTCTAGCCATATTGACATGTTAACATAAATTACATTATAGGATTCTTTTTATTACATAGGGTGGTTCACTGAAATTTCCGGCCTCCAAATCCCCACACTTCATAATTCCTGCAGGGGATCACCATATTCCAAAACTCAACTTATTATTTTCAAGCGCCTTCAGAGAAGATAAATTGTCTGATTTAAGTAGATACCTAGAAGAAGAATTTGCCTATCCACCAGAAGTACTAATATATGATAAGGCCAAGTTACATGTCTTCTCTGAAAAGAGATGGAGGCTCTAGTCTCAATGTTTTGAGGCATCTCCATACTGCTTCCCATAGTGGCTGTTTATATTCCCACCGGCAGTGAATGAGGGTTCCTTTTTCTCCACTTCTGCTCCAACATATGCTAAGTCTTTCAACACAATTTACTCAAGCTAAAGTCCATCAAGAACTTTAGGAAATAAAGAATGTAGTTACAAATTCCATTCTAAAGTTTCCCAAATACAAATTTTAAAAAATGAAATTTAACAAATAAACATAAGTAGGCAACAACAATAATATTATCTCCTCTGGTAGTTAACTATTAATTTCTTAAAGGAGAAATCTGTAATCATAACCCATAAAGAGTTTTGAAAAGGAAATTAGTCATGTGGAGAATTCTGAATTAAATTTTTTATATACAGAAAAAAAATATTCCAAAAAGGAATAACTCAGTAATTTCTTTTCTCTCTGCCCGTATAATTATTAAAAATAATTATAAATTCCCAAGCACAATAAAATTTTACTTAAAATACAATCCACTGATTGATTGATTTATAGGGTCAAATTATCCTCTATTTTGCAATGTCCACCCATATCCCAATATTTTAAAGCAAATCACAGTTGTAGAGTATTTATCTTGTATCCAGCTATAAAAATATTGCAATTTTTCATAAAACTACTAATGTATGTAAAGTCCTAAAACATTTAAATCTCTGTTCCATTCTGCATTTACATTTTGCCTGTCCAGTAGAAGTACTAATATGTGATAAAGTAACTTGTCTTCTCTGAAAAGCTCATTAAATAAGAAAAAGAACTTACATGATACTAAAACCAAATTCAATAAATATCATTTCTGAAAAACATGATCTTTAAAGAAAAATTTAAACACCAGAGCCCAATGTCAGAAGAAACTACAATATTCCCACCTTCAATAAATACCTAAAGATTAAAGAAAAGCTTTGACTTAGAGAATATTATATTATCCACTTCCATTTTAGGATGATGTTTACCAAAATATCATAAATACTTAATAGCAACTGTTCCTAGTGCTTCTAGCAAAAGGCAGTAAAATGAAACATAAACCTCAGCTGTGAAAGCCCAGGAGTTTTGCTTTGCATTTCATCACTCCACTTCCCCATACCCTGTTTAGGATAGCCCAGATTCTAATGATCACCAGAGACAGCTCCGCTGAATTCGAAACAGAAATATTATGAGTTCCAGTGAAACTATTAATCATTAAAATGAAAAGAACAAGAGCAGTCAAATGCTCAGCCAGTGGTTCAAGTTGCCTGACTGATAGCTAGGAAATACCATATTGGAAAGAGAGTAATCACACATTCCAATCCAAATTTTTATTTGACATTGCTTCTATAAAGCTCTATAAAACTCTCCAGCTATCAAGATGCTGAGGAACGCCATACTCTAAGGGTAGAAGTGTCTAAGATTGTTTATGAAAATCTTAAACTTGAAATCACAAACCTAATCTTCACAGAGCTCAATTTGCAAAAATTAATACCAAATCTGACAAACAAAATCTAGGTCTTTAGAATTACATGGTGCTTGCAATACCGAACAAACTTCCTCCTTAATCTCTTTCTTCCAGATAATGACCACCTGAACTGGATATCATGATTACTTCTTACAGTTTTAAATGTATCTAAAATTATGAGCCTTTCCTGCCCACAGAGATATACTCACAGAATTAATTATTCCTTTAAGAGCATGAAATCCACCTTTGACAGGAAAAACTTGTTCCTTGGAATCAGCAATTCTTTCGAGCTTTAGAAAGAGGAGAAAAATTTAATTAAGAGGTGGTTGAGACATATAACATTTTATAAACTTCATTACATTTTAATTATGTTCTTCTGAAGAATTACACCGCAGGAGTCAGCCCCGCCTGCAGCCTGTCAGAAACTGCATAGGGAGACTCCAAATGCTTCACAATGAGATGAACTGACATCAGCTTTACATTGGCCTCAAGTTTCAATTTCAAAACATCACAGAGCTCTACTAGCTGTAAATGTCATGAAAGAAAAGAGTCCTAATGAGTCATACCCAACCAAAAACTTAAATGCAAAATCACTTTGTGAGTAGAAAACAAAAAATTAAATATGTAAAGCCTTAAAACTTCATGAAAAAAAAATGTTTTTTAAATAAAATTATTAAAGATTTCTCATAAGCAAATTTCCTAAATCCTTGAACTCCTACGGGTCTAGCTTTAAATAAAAATAAAACACTTAAATAAGAATGTAATAATAATCTTGTCAGTTGAGTTAAAGAACAGAAGTACTTATATTATTTTAACCCAAATGTTTGTCCTTAGTTCTTCCAAACCAAAAAAATGTTCAATAAATTCTGAGTTTTATTTTTCAGTAATGAAACCTGTTAAGATCAGACATTATTAATCAAGACATACAAGAATATGCTCATTTTTACAGATTATCTTTAGCATCGGTGAAAGGAATTTAATAAACTATCCTTAAGACAATTATATGATTTAAGTTAAAGTTTATATATCTGCTCTACTCACCTGAGCTGGTACAAAGTCAAGGACACCAACACAATAAACTCTAGCCCCAAATGACCTGGCTAATTTTGCCTATGGAGAGAAATAGAGATAGAGGCAGAGGTAGACAGAGAGAGAGAGAGACAGAGAGAAAAAGGTTAATTACTCAAATATCAGGCTATCGATGAATACACTGGGGTGGAAAGAATAGTTTTAGTTCAATACTCACCTCTTTCTCTGCATATGATGGCACCAGACCTTCCAACTTGCCATCTGTCAGAGCAATTATGATACTGGAGGTTTTTAAGCCCCCTGCTTTCTCAATTTGTTCATTTGCCTAAAAATAAAGAATAATTATCCAACTCACAATTTAATCTTAACTTTGAACCAGCATGTTCTATTCAAGCTGAATTTATAAGTGTGACAAAATCAAGGTATTAGGGGCTAGCTTTTAAAATACAGTATTTGTGTTAAATATTTTATTGAACTATACATATATTTACTTTATAAAGTAGTTACTATTGGGTTTAAATGACATAGATTTTTAGCTTTGGTTGGCTACTCCGACTATAACCATAGAGAAAATAAAATAAAAAATTCTTAAAAGGCAAAATACCATCCAAATTTTTCTTAATACCATGATAAGGAATGTTTTATATCAGCCTCATTCCTAAAACAACTAAACAAATTTAATTTTTTTTTTTCTAAGATACGTATGGGGATCTTTCAGTTTGACTGAGAGCTATAAATTATTTCATCACAGCATCAGAAAAAATCCCTCCCGTATGTGTAAATGTTAAAAAACTTACTTTTTTTAGTCCTTCATGGATGAATGTCTCTCCTACTGGAGTGACAGCTTTTAAGTCCTTCAAGCCTTGATTGATTTTGCCTCTGAAAATAATGTTTTATAATATTAAGGTAAACAAAAATGAGCAAAGATCACAATAAGCACTTCTCAAAACACATGGCAGCATTGCAACCAAGCTTTCTTCAGTAAGAAAAGGAAGGAGCATGAGCTTTGAGGGCAGATAGCTCTCCATACCTTTTGTCATTTTAATGAATATATTATAACTAGAGGCCCAGTTCACAAAATTAGTGCACAGGGGAGAGGAAGTGTCCCTCAGCCCAGCCTGTACCCTCTCCAATCTGGGACCCCTTGAGGGTTGTCTGACACTCTGTTTAGGCCCGATCCTATTGGGCAGTTGGACATTTCTCTCACAATCCAGGACTGTTGGCTCCCAACTGCTAGCCTGCCTGCCAGCCTGGTCACCCCCTAACTACTCCCCTGCCAGCCTGATTGATGCCTAACTGTTCCCCTGCCAGCCTGTTTGCCCCTAACTGCCCTTTCCTGCTGACCTAGTCATCCCTAACTGCCCTCTCCTACAGGCCTTCCCTCCACAACTTCCCTCCCCTGCAGGCCTGGTCACCTCCAACTTCCCCCCCCTGCAAGCCTGATTGCCCCCAACTGCCCTCCCTTGCAGGCTTGGTCACTCCCAATTGTCCTCCCTTATTGGCCATTTTGTGGTGGCCATCTGTGTCCACATGGAGGCAACCATCTTTGACCACATGGGGGCAGCTATCTTGTGTGTTGTAGTGATGGTCAATTTGCATATTACTCTTTTATTAGATAGTATATTTTTATTTTAACTACAAAAAATTAAAGTATTAACAATGTAAAATATCTTGAAAATCTAAGCATGAACTAATTTTGAGTTGAGAATATCTACCTTCAATCATATTTATTTTACTAAATGCTAAGGAGTAAAATATGTTACCTCATTAAAATAAATAAATAAAATAAATAAATAAATAAATAAATGGATGGGTGGATGGATGACAATGGATTATTCAGAAGAATAGTATAAATTAAAAAGAGAAAGAACCATAATTCTATGGTTGATAAATTACTGATTTTTTTCATCATGACTAATTAGTTGTCCCAATGGAGTACATTGAAATAAAATATGAATATAATAGTAAGAGGTATTTTGTGTGTATGAGTAAGAGAAGACAAATTTTTCAGTTTTGTTTTTTTTTAATATAGATTCCCAAGACTATTTTAAAAAGAAAAAGGAGAAAAGAAAAAAACACTTCAAGAATCTTAAGAGATAAATACTTTAATGTTGCAAAATAACCCAAAATAAACTTAAAACTAATTTTTAAATTTTTAAACTTAAAAGATCAAAAGAGAAATCTTAATATATTGCTTTGGGAATTTTCGTTTTTAAACAGAAACAAAGAAAAATACCTTTTTAAATAAAAGTCTTGAAATATTAAAGTTAAGTATAATACTTTCAATAAACATGAAGAGCAGTTACATTACTGAGGATGATAGATGACAAATGAGAGAACTGAAATTCAAATTTTCATATTATCTGAAAATCAAGGAATTTACTGGGGTCATACACAATATGATATATACTATATATACCTCATATACTATTAAAACACATGACAAAAATAATTAAAAGTTTATTATTTTGTCATGCTGCAGTGTTGTGTTTCAAATACTTTTAATAAATGAGTCATTCATAAGAGCCTCACTCACATTTTAAGTTATTGATATTTTAATATTGTAATGAAAGTTATTTATCAAACAAATTCTCTCTCTCAAAAAGTTTCCCCAAAACACAAGACAACTTTCAAAATATGATCTTAATCTTTCTCCTTCCTGATTTAGTTATCTCTAATAACATATGCTATCTTTTTTGATACTTGGTTTAAAATCTACCTATTCTGAGCCCATCTCTAACTTCATTACATTCTCTTTCTATGGTACTCCAAACTTATGAATGTTTAGCTTTCACTACAATAAATAACTGTCTCTTAAAAACATTCTACTTTAAAATAATTTAAAATATTAATTTCACTTAATATTTTCACTTCTCAACAAGACTGCAAGTTTACAGTGGGCTACCCTCATTTGTGATATATATAATGTATCCCCCTACTCTGCACTTACTACTCATTGTAATGTCTTTTACAAAGTAAGTGTTTAATAAATTCTTCAACCTACCCTAGGGGAAAAAAATCATAATTCCACAGATGATGGAGTAAATTACATAATTTATAAACGTGTTTATTCTGAATATTTATGTGTAGTATCTACAGCAACAACTTGAAACTGATTCTGTCTGAGTCTCACAGATAAAAAAACAAATATTTGGAGCTTTCCAGAAATGAGTGGCAGCGTGTCCTTAAGTATTAATGTTTGCTGTCAAAAAGAAAATGAAAAAGACAACTGAAATTCAAGTTTACCCAAACAGATTCTGGTTGGCAAAAATCGTTTTCTCCATTCAGTTCAGACTCAGCTCCCCATCACCTCTGAGGACCAGGCAACACCAGCAGAAGACTCTAAGCTAAAATAAATAAAACCTGCCAAATGTGGACTCGGAGTCTTTGGGGAAGGTAGGTCTCTGCTAGCTTATTTCCATGGAAGAGGCAGAGCATCTCTCTCTTTTCTCCCCACACTCATGCCTGCCACCATGATAGCCTAGGTGGCACTAAACCCCCATTACTTTTGCAGCTGCATAGTCATCCGAGGAAAGGTGTTCCTTGCCCATGGCCAATTCCATCAACACAGGTGAGTCCTGGTCTCACTACCTTCCAGACAGACAACACAGTCTAGTCTGCCAGCCTCTCCTTCATCAGTAAATGTCACTTTAAGGAAAAAGAAAGCCAAACAAGGCAAGGAAGATCTTAAGCCTTCAAAGAATCCCAAGCAACCAAATACAGGTGATAAATTTACTGGTTAACAGTTAACTGGGGAAAAGCAAAATTACATAGCGGACTAAAAACAGAACTCATTCATCTATACTTTGACTTAAAGAAATCTCTAATGAAAAGCAAGGAGGAAATTATAAACTCAACATAGAAAAAAATGGATACGTTGTAAAGATCAGCTAAAAATCCAACATCTCAACCTTAGAAGATCAACCTTACTGAGCTGGGCTTTAATGGTATGTCTTCAACTACAAGGAACAGCAATATTGGAACCACTTGCTATGAAGCTGTAGTCAAGGGTGTGGGCTGCTTTCCGACACAGTGTCACCTCTAAGGTCCCAAGCGGAAGTTTCTTGTCATCCCTACACACTTCCTCCTTGTTGCTAACTACATTATGTAAACGTTCTCCTCCTCTTATTGGGAAGCCCACGTAAATTTCTTACTCATTCACAAATTATGCAAAGCTCCTATGGTTACCATAATGCTGCATCCTCTTTTCCAAGATCTTTACTTTATTTTTATTTTTACGTTTTTGTTATTGCTTTCAAAGGAAGAGAGAGGGAGAGAGGGATAGAAACATCAATGATGAGAGTCATTGATTGGCTGCCTCCTGCACACCCTCCTCCACCAGGGACCTAGCCCGCAACCCAGGCATGTGCCCTTGACCAGAATCAAACCTGAGACCCTTCAGTCCACAGGCAGATGCGCTATCCACTGAGCCAAACAGGTTAGGGCTACTTTTATTTTTACATGTTGTTAATTTTCTGCAATGTTCTGTGCAGCTTCAGATACTTTTTGAAAAGAGGAAAAATTTAAACAAATGGTATATTTAACCAGTGGTTTTTGGGTTTTTGGGTGTGTGTGTGTGTGTGTGTGTGTGTGTGTGTGTGTGTTTTATGAGAACTGGAGACCAAACTCAATAATCAACCTTAAGGATTGACCCTTTTTTAATCCATAAAATTAATACATCCATCTCTATTACCTCTCAATTTTTCTGCTGAGTAAGGAAAGGAAGAGATGAAAAAGGGATGGGGCCGTAGCCAGTTTGGCTTAGTGGATAAAGCATTGGTCTGCAGGCTAAAGGGTTCCACGTTTGATTACCTGTCAAGGGCATGTACCCAGGTTGTGGCTCAATGCCCTGTAGGGGCTTGCAGAAAGCAGCCAATCAATGATTCCCTCTCATCAATGACGTTTTTATTTCTCTCTCCCTCTCCCTTCTTCTCTGAAATCAATTTAAAAAAATATATGTAAAACATAAAAAGGGAAGGGGAGAATAAAAAGACAAGAGAAGGAATGGAAGGGAAGGAAACAGCAACGACAGCTGCCATGCACTGTGTCACGTCCAATGGCTTTCCTCCATCCCTATCACACTCTGAACTGTGGAAGGTGTTCATGATGTCATAACTAAAACAAAGACGTATTTTTACAAATAGTGGCATTAAAAAGAAGGGTTGGCAGAGAGTTCTAGATTTCCCAACTAACAGAATTAAGGCACAATTTTAAGTACCTTCTATTTATGCTGAAGGATATGCATTTACTCGTATACAATTTATCTCTATAGTACTTGAACTTTTCAATGCACATTATCTTAGCGACCCAGATCTCAAAGCTCTTTCCAGATTTCAATCAACCAACCTATACACATCTGTTGCACACACACCCCACATGAACACTGTGATTCCGATGTGAGAACAGCTCACACATAGACCATGGCTGTTCCCACATACCTCTCTGCAGGTGCAGTGTAGCTCTCCTCCCTGGCTGTGCCCTGTAATCACCTAACAGACTTTTTAGAATATCTCTCTTGTGCCTTAATTAAAAGATTCTAATGTGCCTAAAGATTTTAATTCTAATTGCTTTGTAATAGGGATGGGGTATTTTTTTTTTTAAATAATATCTAAGAACCTCTAGTCTAATCTCATTGAAAAACTTTTCCATGTTGTTAGAATGCTCTTTCCCTTACCTGTTTTGCCAGTCAGTCCTACTGAAGAAGGGGTTTGGGAGTGACTAGGATGTTCTTTTAAACTGTGAAGTACAGTTTCTGAGATTATGAGATATAGCCACAGAGAAGAGAGATTTATTCTAAGCCCTATCTTGTTTCCTCGTTTATCAACAGGGATGAAAATATCCACCCTGTGGGGGCATTGTGAGGATGAGATGGCACATAA